TGAAGTTTTCCTGTCCCCTTAGCAGAAAAACACCCCCAAAGCATAATGTTTCCATCTCCATGTTTGACGGTGGGGATGGTGTTCTTGGGGTCATAGGCAGCATTCCTCCTCCAAACACGGCGAGTTGAGTTGATGCCAAAGAGCTCCATTTTGGTCTCATCTGACCACAACACTTTCACCTTCTCACCAAGCTGCCTGGCAATGGTCTTGTAGCCCATTCCAGCCTTGTGTAGGTCTACAATCTTGTCCCTGACATCCTTGGAGAGCTCTTTGGTCTTGGCCATGGTGGAGAGTTTGGAATCTGATTGATTGCTTCTGTGGACAGGTGTCTTTTATATAGGTAACAAGCTGAGATTAGGAGCACTCCCTTTAAGAGTGTGCTCCTAATCTCAGCTCGTAACCTGCATAAAAGATACCTGGGAGCCATAAATCTTTCTGATTGAGAGGGAGTCAAATACGTATTTCCCTCATTAAAATGCAAATCAATTTATAACATTTTTGACATGCGTTTTTCTGGATTTTTGTTGTTATTCTGTCTCTCACTGTTCTAATAAACCTACCATTAAAATTATAGACTGATCGTTTCTTTGTCAGTGGGCAAACGTACAAAATCAGCAGGGGATCAAATACATTTTCCCCTCACTGTATGCTGCCCGGTTTCACCAACCCGCAAGTAACCAGTGGGGTGAAGTATAGTCACAACATCATGGCGTGGGGGAGGCCTTCATCCGGCAGTAGATTAACAACAAGACTGTGCATGTAGAGTACTGTTAATTCAAGTGTTCTCTTAGTATTGTGTCACGATACATTAATTTTGGCTGAAAGCAATCCGTCACCCCATGTCGGAGTTACGGGCCTGAGAATGTGATGTCACAGAACTGCTTCAAAGGCACTTTTTAATCCACAACCTTTAACACTCGCCTTCTGCCCGTCCAAGGACGGGTGTGTTTCAGTAAATCTGAAACTTGCAAGCGAAAAGCAGACCGCGACGTGATATTCATTGCATCTATTCGTGTGCGACTTGTAAGGCCGCGGTGACACAGACCTATTTCATTTGAAGTTTATAATCCCTTGTTCATCATGACGTCCTTTTTACTTTGATGTCTCAACAACAGCGTCACGGAGATCACGTGACGTGAGGGTTCTGTAGTGAGGGTTGTCAGTTGACGCCGAGGGGGGGGAGGAGGCGCCTCGCCCCCCATGTGGAGTGACGTCAGCCGCTAATTATTATTAATGGGGGGGGAGGGTGTATCCATTTGGAAGACGTCACCTGCTCATGATTATTAATGAGGGGGGTGCTACATGTGGAGTGACGTCACCTGGTCACCTGCTCATGATTATTAATGAGGGGGGGGGGGTCCATGTGGAGTGACGTCACGCGCGGGACAGACATTCTTGGCTCATAGTAAATATTCATTGTCCCGTGAAGTTGAGTGCGAACAATCCCGTCAGTTGTTTTCTGTTGGTCACTTTCTACACCAGAAGCTTACCCATAATAAATTCCCAGTGATATGCCATACAGAACCACTTGCTTCACGTGTGCCTGTACGTGTATTATACTACTATGCACGTGTGCCAGTACGTGTATTATATTACTATGCACGTGTGCCTATACGTGTATTATATTACTATGCACGTGTGCCTGCACGTGTATTATACTACTATGCACGTGTGCCTGTAAGTGTATTATACTACTACGCACGTGTGCCTGTACGTGTATTATACTACTATGCACGTGTGCCTGTACGTGTATTATACTATGCACGTGTGCCTGTACGTGTATTATACTACTATACACGTGTGCCTGTACGTGTATTATACTACTATACACGTGTGCCTGTACGTGTATTATACTACTATGCACGTGTGCCTGTACGTGTATTATACTATGCACGTGTGCCTGTACGTGTATTATACTACTATACACGTGTGCCTGTACGTGTATTATACTACTATGCACGTGTGCCTGTACGTGTATTATACTACTATGTACGTGTGCCTGTGCGTGTATTATAGCAGCAAGATAAAGGTGCAGTCCTTCAACTGCTTTCTCGCGCCTCTGCTGCTGGAAGGGTCTCCATTAGAGGCAGCTCTAGAGTCCCTGTAGACTCTCTAGGGTACATTGGTCTTCTCTTCCATGCTGGCCAGACAGATATCGGAGTAACCGCACTTTACCCGACCAAACTTAACCTGCCGTTGGACTGTGGTGGTACCCATTTATTCTGCTGGGTCGACAGAGGCGAATCGAACCGGCGAACTGACGATTCCAAGTCCAGTGCACCGACCACTGCACCGCAGCAGCATCCCAAGAATAATCAGAGAGAGTCCTACAATACAGGACATGCTCCTCAAGCCTCGTCTCTGAAAATGTTTACTTGTCATAATACTACCGGTGGCTTGTACGTACGTACATTGAGCTTCTTTCGCCGTATACGTAGCCAACCGTGCTAATCGGAGGTGCGGGTGAGAAGGATGACGGACTGCGTTGGCTCCTGTGGTGTTGGTGGTGATGCGCTGCCGTGCCTGGTGTTTTCTGCGCTTGTTTGACAAGACGAGGAAGATGATGCTGCAGCGACGGAAGTCGGCACCCGCGCACGACGACAAGCGCTGCGCCGGCTTCAGGCAAGCTTCTCCACGCCGTCACGCACACAGCGACCCGGCTGGCCACCCCCCAATTTCATTTCGATAATTTGCCAATTCTCTTATTGAGCAGATCGATTGGGCGGAAAGGTTGAATAATGTATTACTTTTTTATTCAAGAAAAAAAATGCGTGGCCACTAGCTTGGCAGATGTGCAAACACTCAACACTGTCGTCACTAACCCTGCCCTAAAAGAGGAAAATATATTTAATAAAAAATGTATAATTGGTGCCGTTTTGTTTATTTAAATGTCACGTGTTATGGTTGATTACTCGGGGGCCCCTTTAAAAATGGCCGCTTCCCTTGGAAGCCACGCTCGGCGTGACGTGTGTCCGATGATGCCAGTGACGTGAACAAACCCCCACCCATCACCTCCCGTCCAGCGGCACACATGGGAACGGACGGACGTGAGAATTTTTGTTTCCAAATACTTTCGTGTTATCCGAATCAATAATCAGTAGAGTAATTGATTACGTAAAACATCTGGAGTACCCAATTCTGCTTTCCGTTGACAGCCAACTTGGGTTCAGTTCAGTGCACTTGAGTTGACTTGACTCGAGTGGCCTTTTCGTGGTGGTTACTTGAGTTCGTACTCGGGTTCGTAGGCTCGCGAAGATATACGGTATTAGAACGCGCAAAATTAGCGCAATAACATTTTTAATTGTAACCATCTTTCCGTTCGTTATCTCCACGTAACGGTGAAATAACTTAATGGCTTGTCGGCCTATCGGCCTTCCGGACTTCGGTTAAACAGCAGCATCTGTTTGAGTAAGAACATTCCGGAGTGGCCTCTTCCTGCTGGGTCTCCCGATGATAAAGCGCCCTTAAACTGCGTCATTTGTATGGGTTGGCATTGTCGAAGAGTGCTGGTAAAAACGGAAGCTTATGAGTTTAAGTCCCGGTCAAGGTCAACTCAGCCCACTACCTCATCCCTCGGGTCAGTAAATGGGTCATATGAATAGACTGGCCACTGCCATAGGCACGTGGAGTTCACACAATCATGGCCGCAAATCAAATCCGTCGGCATTCTTTCATACAAATCGCTCATGTAGATCATTTGGAACAGAATAATGAACAAGGCCAACCGACCAGCTCAACAAGCCAGATCCATACTATTAATCAAATGCAGGAATATACCAAATCAATGGAAATAAAATAAAATATTTAATAGCCACTGCAGACTTTAACATGGCATTTTACTCTGTAGCAAATGATGCAATCGTCCAAGCTCTCAAAAGCAAGGCTTAAATAAGTAAATAAAGTGTTTGGAAATTATGAAACAAAAAACATTTTGTCTTAAGCAAATTGCATATCAGAGGGGAAGTCAGGCAAGGAGATACGCTGCTGCCCCAAAGTTATTCACGGCAACATTATAAGGCGCTTTGTGAAGAATACATTTAGAGATACGAGGGCAAAAACAAACGTGGAGCATTATTAACCATCTCATTTGCTGATAACAAAACAATAGTCAATCTGGCAACCTTTTGGGAAAACATTTCTGGGGATTTATCGAAGAACTCGGTTATGAACACCCAGTGCATTAATACCTCGGGGCTGGGTCTTGAAGCCATTCCCGGATCAAACTGGCGAAGTAAAGGGGCGGATGAGAACAAAACACTCGGTTTTTTTTATTTCACCATGGAAGGGCCACTGAGCTATAGAGCTCTTTTTCAGGAGCGACCCATTCACAGATTATAGCTCAACAAAGTGGCTTATCACGTGGAAATGTATAGCTGCCAAATACTCTTAAACGCCTGTTTCTAAATGTGGAGGGAAAACCCGGAGGACTCGGATATAAATCCACCCGATGGGGGGGGGGGGGGGGAGAGCGACGCAAACTCCAAATACACAGCTGGCGTCTGGGTTGGGATGGAACCCATGACCTCCCGTATACCAGGCGAGGTAGTTAACTTCCCACCACCGTGGCGACATGTTAACAGGTTGGGCAGTTTCTTAAAAAAAACACTGGAATGGTAGCCATGAATGTGCATGGCTGAAGGAGAGTTACTTTTAAACTGGCTTCTTAATTTACCAACAATGAACGTTACCTTCTTCCTCAAAGAACAGCCTCGACCAGGTTTTGGGTAAGAGGGAGGGATAGGGTTGCAATTAATCATGTTATTGTCAGAGCAGCAGCAGCGCAGGTTCAAATATGAGGCCATTTCAGCTTAATTAGGATTGTGGCAGCGGTTAAGTTGAAACACGTAGAGAAATAATTAGAATTGTTTCGCTTGATTGGCGGATTGGATGAACAAAAAACTCTTATTGCAGCCTAATTATCCGCTTGCCTAGAATTAATAAAGTACCACAGCCAGAGCCATTAGTCAAGTTAATGCTATATTTAAACCACGACAAGCATTTTCATCACTAGTATCGAGACGGCTAAATCGCCCTGTGCATTTTTACACAGGGTTATTAAAGGGTGATTTAAAGGCAGGCGAGTGGCCTATAATTCTCCAAATGTGTCTTTTGTTGCACAGTTTGCACGTTGATGTGTGGTGCGCGCTCGTTTTCCCTTTTTTTTTAGTTTTTATAAATCCTGTGGCTCTTGGGGGCGGTTAGAAGGCGGTTTTACAGAGAGGCGTTGTACCCTGCCGATAACCAGCCGCGCACAAGGAAGTCACGTTCCTGCAGGCCCCGACAGAAAAGCAATCGTGGAACGTTTGTCCGACGCTTCCACATCTGCGCGTGCCCGCCGTCGCTTTGAGACGTTCTGGGAGCCGTTTGCCGACATGTGTCGCTCCTCGCGTTGACCGCTGTTTTTGCCTCACTGGATTTCTTCTCGATCGATCGAACGAGAGTTGCCTCCGTTACTATGAGGTACGTCTTAAAGATTGTGGGGGGGGGGGGGGGTTGTCCCTCGCTCATTATCGTGCTTTTTTCTTTTTAAGGCACAGGGCTGTTTGTTAAATGGATTTGATCAAAACATGATGTTAAAGGCAAAGGTGCAGCCCTGCAATTGCTCGTCACTGCTGGCGGAATGGTCTCCACTACAGTGTGAGTTGAGGGCCCCTCAGCAGGGTTTTCTGGCCTAATCCACACTACCCAGATGTGGGAGTTACCCACACTATCCCATCTAACTTGTCCTGCCAAAGCACAATGGGCTGAAGTGGCCAACACAAATGAGTGGTGTGCCGTTTTCATTAATCCCGAGGAAGCCTTGCTATTTAGCACTGCAGTCAGCCAATACAAATCTTGCATATTGGAAACACAGGTGTCCGTGTCAGGGGGGCTTTCTTGCATTACCCACATACACAGAGTTTTTGCTAACCTGGCGCCTTTCCCAACCAAACCTTGTTACTCAACGCGATCAGAAAAAAATAAAATGATGCAATATTCTAAAGGAAATATTGACACTTGTTTAAACAAATGTCAACATTTTTTGAATGCCAAATTAAATTAACATTGCCACAAAGCAGATATATGTATTAATGTCATAGTTTTAAAATAAAGCGAAACTCTGCAGTTGCGCAGTCGTTTAAAAATATTGTTGTGCAATACTTTAATATACCTTGTCTGAATGTATACATGTATATATAATGTGTTAGTTTGCCAGTGGATTTGCACAATAGATTGTGGGAAATGAGAATGAAATCCCACGCTTTTCCGTCTGTTGCTGAGTAAAATAAGATGTTGATGTTTTGACTGATTCCTTGCTGAGAAAAAAAAAGAGATCTTCCTTTCTGCTTTGTGACAAAACCCTGTTTTCATTTAACTTCACCTCTTACTTATTCCATACGCGTTATATGTATACATGAAATATGCATGCAATTCTCATTTCTTTAGCATAATACTTCTGGGCTTAAATTATCACTGAATATTTTGCGGGTTCCAGTAGACTAGAAGAGGCTGCATAGTACGAGCAGCCTCAGCCGCCTCTGAGTAGTATACTGGATGTGGTGTGCAGGATGCTGAACGTTTCTTTCTCTCTCAGGCAACAAACCCAGGCAGACCCAGCTGAAATTAAACCCCGATCACACTTGCAAAGCATTTTGCGTAAATCTGTACATTTGAAACGGCTGCAGTAAAATGAAAGAAACTACATTCGTTTGCGACGCACCCTGAACGCTACAAACGTCTCAGGATTTAGAATTACACCCGAAGCGTGGCAGGGAATGGGAGCGGGAGAGCAAGGTAGCAATGAGCGGAGTCCAAGGGCACCGTTGACGTAGGTAGGTTCTGTGGAGAGACTTGAAAGCAGAGAGAGAGAGGAGTTAACTGAGGAGGGTACTGCTGTGATGAGAAGTTAACTACCTCGCTTGGTATACAGGAGGTCATGGGTTCGATCCCAACCCAGACGTCTGTGCATTTGGAGTTTGCGTGTCTCTGTCCCCCCGGTCGCTTGGATTTTTCTCCGGGTCCTCTGGTTTTTTCCTCCACATTTAGAACCAACATCACGCGTTTAGAGTATTCGGCTGCTACACAATTCCATGTAATAATACACTTAATTCAACTATCATTTGTGGTCAGACCGCTTCTACAAAGTAGTTGTACAGCTCCGTGGGCCTTACGTGGTGAATAAAAAGGTAATTCCAGAGGGTGAGAGGCCACAATGGCTAGGAGAGAGTGGCCACGGTCATCATGATCAGCTAATCTTCTGATTAATTCACCTGCAGCGACGGCGTCCTGTCGCCGAGCTCGCCGCTCCAGCTGGGCCCATGGAGGCTTGGGGAGGCCGAGACCACGGCCTCGCCTAGCAGCCCTCTTCCCAACAGCGTGAAGCCGCGCTGGACGGACCTCCTGGCGCCGGTGCAGCCAGGGGTGGACGGAGTGCAGCTCGTCAGTCACGTGACGCTGCACGTGGGCCTGCAGTCCCAGGAGCGGTGCCTCATCCTCCTCCCCAGCACCTTGATCGTCGCAAAATACAAGTAAGCCAATTTGGTCATTTCGGATTATGGTGAATATGTTTGTTGTTGTAGCCTCTAGAAGCATCCAGCAGCATCCCACCTCGTGTGATGTTACACCGAGGCAGCCCCACAACCGCTTGCTTATTCCTACTCGCGCGACGTAGTTCTCTTCATTCTGTCGCGTTATATCTAATTCGCATCCGTGTTATAAAAAAATGTGTTCTCCATTACATTAATCGTATTGTGTTAAATTTGCATAATGAAAACGTGGCGTTATAGGGGAACTGAGTGTGTGTGCGCATGTTGAACTTCTTTCGCACCGTACGTAGCCAACCATGCTATTCCGAGGTGCGAGGGAAGGACAACAAACTAATTACAAAAAATCACTTTTAAGGAAACGAGTTGTCAATGCTACATTATTTAAAAGTGCACAGCTTCCTTGGCTTCCTTTATATCGGAAGAAAGAGCGTTCCAGACGGCCGCAGAAGTGCACATCAAAGCGCCGCGCGACGCGGTGCCCGCCGACTTTGAATTGCTCGCTCGCTGCGGTGGACCTCCTCCCCCAACGCGTTCCAATCCTTGGCTGCTGCTCCTCCATTGTTAGTCTTGACCAATAATCCGTCCCTCATAGCTATGACGTGTCCCACCTAAGCTCGCTTACATTTGAACGATAACGTGTTCGTTCCTATGCTGTCTCTCAATGTAATTTGAAGCTTACAATCTCGCCATTGAACTTGGCTTCTGAGCACTGGCCTTTTCAAGTGGGACAGTAAAGTGGCAAGATCAGTTAATTAGCAAATATTACATTATTCTCAATAATTAATGCTCTGATGATGTCCATCAGGAAGTCAGTGAAGCCCTTTGCGAAATGCTGATCATGCGGTAGAGAAGATTAGGCTGCACGAAAAAACGGGCTGTGTCAGGAGCGCACGTCACTGCATTGACCTTTTGTAACGATGATGATGATTAAATAAAATTGGGGCATTAATTATTGGTTCATGTTAAGATCAGTGTTGCAGGCTAAGATGTTCAGGAATTGTGCTCAGCACTGTACCACCGGGTAGACAAAAAAAATGATAGTGTGACCGTGAAATCTCTGCCAACTCTGCCAATTTAAATCCTTTTATTACGGCGTACCAATTTTTCAAAGCTAAAATTGGAACAAAAAGTACATTTTTTAAAATATATACTGCGTATATAAAGCACTCTGATTATCTTTGAAAATCAGTGTGCACGAAAAGGGTTTAAAAATCGGCAGCCTGCTGCTTCAATTGTTTTGGTTCGCAAGCAAAAGGTTAAAGCCGCAGCCATGCAACTGCTTGCTCGGTCCACTGCCGGCAGAAGGGCATCCACCAGGGGGAGCTCTTGAGAGCCCCTGCCAGAACCGTGCTAATCGCACCTCCGATTAGCACGGTTGGCTCCATACGGTGCGAAAGAAGTTTTACATACATACATACATACTGATGGAGGGTATTTTTCCCTAGTCATCCACACTGGTCCAATATCTTTCACCCCACCACACGACTCACTCTGGTGATCGACTCACTCCGGTGTACACATTTATACTGTTCGGTGGACAGAGGCGGGGGAGTTAAACCAAAAACAACTCGTGCTGGGGGATCCAACCGGCCAACCTCTGGATTGCGATTCCATTGCGGGAGAACCATTATACCTCCACAGCTGTCGTAACTCGCTGGTCCACCCATACTGGACGTCTGTGAAAAAAAGAGCGTCTTAGCTCATCGGATTCCTCCGGCCTAAATAATAATCTCTGATTCTGAGGTCACAGTAATGGCGCAAACAAGGCTTTCCAAAAACAAACAACAACAACAACGACGACAACAACGACATGACCAACTGGGGGGAACGTTCTCTGCAGGTCGGGCGGCGTGAAGCCCAAGACGGCCGTGCGTCTCTGCGAGATGTGGACGGCCTCCTGCCTGGGCGACGTGTGCGAGGCCCCGGTGCCACTGCTCTCCTCCTTCGTCGTGGGGTGGCCCACGACCAACCACGTCGTCACCTTCAGGTTTGGCGACGCTCGCGGAGAAACCCGCCGCATCCCCTGGGGATCTCGACCGGGACGCTCGCTGAGCTGCCAGCTCCCTCACATCGTCCTGGTGGTGTTTTTTTTTTTGCCGTTTTTTTTTATTTCTGGTTTTTACGGCCTTTTCTTTTGGCTTCAAAGAAATATAATGTGAACGCCCATTGTGTACTACTACTGATGCGTTCACATACACAACAACAAAAACACCCTCAAATACCCATGCCCTGCGTCAGCCCCATCACGCACGAGGGCACCCTCTGTGGCCCAACGCGTCAAAAAGAATGGAACGCCCTCCCCCACCGTCCCCCCCCCCCCACCATCCCCCCCACCACCTCCCCACCATCCCCCCCGCACCATCCCCCCCACCTTCTTCCCACCTCCCATCAACTGAGCGTGGCGAAATTCCAGCCAAATTATAGCAGAAACCAGGGCCCCTTCCCTCCCCGTCCTTCCATCTCCCCGCCCACATTTACATAGCCACGCCCACTCAATCACGAGCACCGCACACACAGTGAGCGGCGGCCTCACTCTCTCTGATGTTGGCTACTCCAACAGCCCCCCCCCGCCTACCTACGCCTCTGCCATCCCCGCCCCCTACTCGGGCAGTGCCTCCCTTGGCCCGGAGCACGAGTCGAGCACTAGGCCAGAATTATCAAACCGGGGCAAATTTCCGCTCGTGAAACTGGGACTGCCTTCTCCAACCTTGGACGTTTTGGTCAGTTCACGCACTGACCGAAGCCGGGACTACCTTGCGACGCTTTAGCTCACACCGCGTCTAGTTGACGGATGACTGTGGGTTTCTTAGCGGCTACAGTGGGTTGTCCTATTGACTTACCCCTGTCCATAGGAATGTGGAGTTTTCACTGCCCGGCTCGGGGTTGTAAACAGGAGATGAGATACCCTGCCTGCGTTCACTTGATTAGGATATCACTTCGTCTTTTCACTTTCGAATACAGTGAGTGAAAAAAGTATTTGATCCCCTGCTGATTTTGTACGTTTGCCCACTGATAAAGAAATGATCAGTCTATAATTTTAATGGTAGGTTTATTTGAACAGTGAGAGACAGAATAACAACAACAAATCCAGAAAAACGCATGCCAAAAATGTTATAAATTGATTTGCATTTTAATGGGGAAATAAATATTTGACCCCCTCTTAATCAGAAAGATTTCTGGCTCCCAGGTGTCTTTTATACAGGTAACGAGTTGAGATTAGGAGCACACTCTTAAAGGGAGTGCTCCTAATCTCAGCTTGTTACCTGTATAAAAGGCACCTGTCCATAGAAGCAATCAATCAATCAGATTCCAAACTCTCCACCATGGCCAAGACCAAAGAGCTCTCCAAGGATGTCAGGAACAAGATTGTAGACCTACACAAGGCTGGAATGGGCTACAAGACCATTGCCAAGCAGCTTGGTGAGAAGGTGACAACAGTTGGTGCGATTATTCGCAAATGGAAGAAACACAAAAGAACTGTCAATCTCCCTCGGCCTGGGGCTCCATGCAAGATCTCACCTCGTGGAGTTGCAATGATCATGAGAACGGTGAGGAATCAGCCCAGAACTACACGGGAGGATCTTGTCAATGATCTCAAGGCAGCTGGGACCATATTCACCAAGAAAACAATTGGTAACACACTACGCCGTAAAGGACTGAAATCCTGCAGCGCCCGCAAGGTCCCCCTGCTCAAGAAAGCACATATACATGCCCGTCTGAAGTTTGCCAATGAACATCTGAATGATTCAGAAGACAACTGGGTGAAAGTGTTGTGGTCAGATGAGACCAAAATGGAACTCTTTGGCATCAACTCAACTCGCCGTGTTTGGAGGAGGAGGAATGCTGCCTATGACCCCAAGAACACCATCCCCACCGTCAAACATGGAGGTGGAAACATGCTTTGGGGGTGTTTTTCTGCTCAGGGACCAGGACAACTTCACCGCATCAAAGGGACTATGGACGGGGCCATGTACCGTCAAATCTTGGGTGAGAACCTCCTTCCCTCAGCCAGGGCATTGAAAATGGGTCGTGGATGGGTATTCCAGCATGACAATGACCCAAAACACACGGCCAAGGCAACAAAAGAGTGGCTCAAGAAGAAGCACATTAAGGTCCCGGAGTGGCCTAGCCAGTCTCCAGACCTTAATCCCATAGAAAATCTGTGGAGGGAGCTGAAGGTTGGAGTTGCCAAAACGTCAGCCTCGAAACCTTAATGAATTGGAGAAGATCTGCAAAGAGGAGTGGGTCAAAATCCCTCCTGGGATGTGTGCAAATCTGGTGGCCAACTACAAGAAACGTCTGACCTCTGTGATTGCCAACAAGGGTTTTGCCGCCAAGTATGAAGTCATGTTTTGCAGAGGGGTCAAATACTTATTTCCCTCATTAAAATGCAAATCCATTTATAACATTTTTGACATGCGTTTTTCTGGATTTTCTTTGTTGTTATTCTGTCTCTCACTGTTCAAATAAACCTACCATTAAAATTAGAGACTGATCATTTCTTTGTCAGTGGGCAAACGTACAAAATCAGCAGGGGATCAAATACTTTTTTCCCTCACTGTACATAGTTCCAGTTTTCAGCGTTTGATTGTGAATAGCTACGGAGAAGTTTGGTTAACCGCAATCACCACTCGCAGTGAGGTGACGCACTGAGAGAGCCAAATTACGGAGAACCGCGTGTGAATAACCACGTCTGTAGTAATAAAAAAACACACAAAGTGGTGGGAAAAAAAAAAACTGTCAGCGGCCGTCAACTTTTGCCGGACACTTCGTGGCTCTTTGTTCACCAAGTTTACCGAGCGCAGGCCCCATAAGCCAAGCGACCAGCAACATCAAACAGCACTCTCGAAGGTGATTTATTGAATAACGGATTATAATTTGCTTACGTTTAAGCCGGGTTTTTTAAAAATAATTTGAGGAAAAAGAAGCGATGGCATGGGAATTTCGGAGTGGATCGGCGTGCGGGAAGCAGGAGAGTTGTTGCGGCCGACAGTGGGCGTGGTGGTTCGAGTAGTCAGTCTGGTAGGCCGCGCTCTCAACTTGGCTGGAGGAATCGATGAGCGAAGTTCATGGGAACAGGAACCATGATCGTAGCGATAGAAGAGTGATGAGGAGGCGAGTGGGTGACCGCAGGGAATTGGAGTGAACGGTCTCGTTTCTGTATATGCATCGCATGTGACCAAATCATCACTTCCGATTAGCACGGTTGGCTATGTACTCTGTGAAAGAAGTTCAACATACATACATACATACTCCAGGACGCGTTCTATCTTGGTAACACGTTAAATGAGATTGGAGTGGAACAACGCGGACGTCCAGACAAACACATCATTCAAGACCCAAACATCTCACCTCCTGGCTTTGACATTGTTCCTCAGAGTCACCGGTGGTGGAACCATCAAGGGCATCAGAACACCAACAGCCCGCTGCATGTCTCCTTCACAAATAGCAAATTAAAGATACAAGCCACAGTAATTTAATTGTGGCCATGCAATCCAAACTATGGACCGCAGAGTAAACCACTGTAGTCTGCGCTCATTTACAATCAGAATATTTATTTAAACTGGAGGAATCCAATGAGCTATAAAGCTCTTTTTCACAGATGTCCAGTAGGGGCATGGGGTAGGAACGTTACAACAACAAACAACACAAACACACTATGTTAGTTTAAAGTACAAGCGCGGTAAACAAAGCATCCAAACACATTCAACGGAGGAGGAAGAGCAAAACTGCACATTCTCTTGTGGCTGGCAGATCTTGACATAGGCATTGAGCTCCTGAACATATTGCCATCATACGCAGGAAGATAATCGTAATATCTAATTCAATCTAAAAGCAAGTCTCCTTCTCCACAAGCTGTCCTTTAGCACTCGGGATATTCCCTACCCCACTGCGCCGCTCAGTGCAGATCCGCTGTTAAACCATGGAAATACTTAGCCTTGGGTCAGTTTGTGGTTAATTAAATTGTGTTCTCGCCATCTGTGACGAATCGCATCCTGCAGTCGGCACGCCGTGGTATGGCGAACGTTGATATCATCGTTACGGATCAAAAAGTTGTTTTGACAAACTCACACGCTATTTTTCGCTGCAGCTAAACCATATTTTTCTTTATTTATTGGTAAGGAACGAAACAAAAAAAGCAAGACCAAAAACAAGCTTTAGTCTTCGATGGATAAGTTAGCCCGACCTTTTTACGTGTAATATTTTAGTCTGCGGTAAATATTTTTGTTATACGTTCTCACTTGTATGGCACACGCCCTCCGGCGTAAAACGCACGTGCAAAGTGTACGCAGTCTGCTCGTGACGTATCACTTATCACGGTTTACTTTCACGTTTCTCTCTCGGGGGAGCGCCGATCCACCGGGAATCCATGGCATGCCACTTAATTACACAGCCGCCTTTCTCTCAACCGTAAAGGGGACGGCGTTGGCACGTCTCTCTGCCCTTGTAGTAAACGTGTCCGTCTGTCACAGCGGGCGGTTGCTCTCTGCCCGGGAGGGTGTCGGGATTGGCAACGCGGTCATGGAGAAGATAAATGGTGGAAATAAGCAGTGAGAGAGACGCACGCTTGAAATGACATTGAGAAAGAGAGAGACGGAGGGGAACGCGGAGATGATGGAACATACGCAGGTTGCCTTTGTTTATTCAAAATCAGGATCTTTATTTAGACTCCAGGAGGAAATCCGATGAGCCATGAATCTCTTTTTCACAGATGTCCAGTATGGGGCAGGTCAGCGAGTTACAACAACAAACAATACAACATAAATGATAGAAGTTTATAGAGAGAAAGGTGAGCAGGTCACTATATATAAATACGTAATAAATAAATTGATGTTTGCCACGCTTGGGCAAGGCAGCAAAAACAACAACAACAACAAAACAGTCGCAGACCACGCCAAGATACCGCCACACAGCAGTAGCAGTCCCTCAATCAAATGGCACATTCGCATTGCACTATCGATATTACACAGGTAGGGATCAAAGTTA